ATGATCAGATACAGGGTAAAAAACCTTTCAAGTTTTTCATTATGTGGATTAAACATCAAAGTTTCTCTACCACAGTTTCTAATGTTTGGCAAGAAAAAATTAAGGGTTTCTCTGTGTATTCAGTTTACTCAAAGCTGAAAATGCTGAAGGTTGCTCTTAAGGTATTAAATAAGAAACATTTCCATAACATCAGTGAGCAAGTCCAAAGGGCTAGAATTGCTCTGGAGAATGTTCAGGAAAATCTTCAAAACTCCCCCTTTGAGTGAGCAAGTCCAAAGGGCTAGAATTGCTCTGGAGAATGTTCAGGAAAATCTTCAAAACTCCCCCTTTGATCCTGTTCTTATTAAACAAGAATGTTCAGGAAAATCTTCAAAACTCCCCCTTTGATCCTGTTCTTATTAAACAAGAGAAAGAATGTCTGACTACTTTTAACAGGCTTATGGATTGTGAACTCTCATTCTTCCAGTAAAAAGCTAGGATAAATTGGAATTTGCAAGGTGACAGGTGCTCCAGTTTCTTTCATGCTTTGGAAAAAAATAAAAAGACACCAAAATAGAATTGTGGTTCTATACAACTACAGAGGTGATAAGATTACTGATGGAAAAGGCATTGTTGATGAATTGGTGGATTTTTATAAAAGCTTAATGGGTACTGCTATAGACACAGCTCCTCCTGACATGAATATCATCAAGTCTGGACCTTGTTTAAATGAAGCTCAAGCTAATTACCTGTCTAGACCAGTCACTAAAGAAGAAATCAAAGCTGCAATTTTCTCTATGTCGGAGTTTAAGGCACCAGGACCTGATGGGTTTAATGTGTCTTTCTTTAAAGCTGCTTAGGACATTATAGGGGATGAGGTTACATTGGCCATTGAAGACTTTTTAAGGACTGGAAAACTTTTAGGCACGGTTAATTCCACCTCCATTACTCTCATACCAAAAGTGCAATGCCCTAAAGTTCCTTCAGATTACAGGCCTATTTCTTGTTGCAATAGCATCTACAAATTCATCATAAAGATTCTAGCTAATAGGATCAAGGAAATGATGGGGTGTCTGGTTAATGAGGCTCAATGTGCATTTGTGAAGGGTAGGTTGATCTCTAATAAAATTATGCTTGCCCATGAACTGGTGAAAAGTTACAGTAGGAAGCATTTATCTTCAAGGGTGATGTTAAATATTGATATAAAACAGGCCTTTGACTCAATCAGCTGGGGATTTATATCAGATATGCTCAAGGGGCTGAATTTCCCTCAAGTCATGGTGAACTGGATAATGGCATGCATTACCTCTCCCAAATTCTCTATTTCTCTAAATTGATCATTTCATGGATATTTCAAAGGTCAAAGAGGGCTTAGACAGGGAGATCCACTCTCACCTTACTTGTTTATATTAGGCATGGAATATCTATCTAGGAGCTTGAATCTCTTAGATAAGGACATGAAATTCAAATATCATCCCAAGTGTGCAAAACTCAAAATATCTCACCTTATTTTTGCTAATGATTTGCTACTATTCTCTAAAGGAGATTTCTACTCAGTGTCCAAGCTCTATCAATGTTTCAAGGAGTTTAGTGCCATTTTTGGTTTGGAGGCAAATATAGAGAAGAGTTCTATCTATTATGGTGGTGTTGATGATAATACCATAAATTCCATTCACAATCTGCTGAGATTCTCTACTGGTACATTGCCTATCAGGTATCTAGGGGTCCCCATGACATCTAAAAGATTATCTTTCATGGAATGCAATCCATTATTTACAAGGATAATTGGTCAGTTTCAGAATTGGTTAAAACATAGAAAACTTTTCTATGTTGGTAGGTTGCAGATCATCAAAAGTGTTATCATTGGAATTCAAATATTTTGGACTTCAAACTATATTTTGCCTGTCAGAGTACTGAAAAAAATAGATGAGCTTTGCAGAAAGTTCCTGTGGGGTAATTTTGATCAATCTTTTAAAACTTCTTTTGTCTCGTGGGAGAGGGTGTGCATGAGTAAGGATCAAGGGGGTCTGGGGATTTTTTCTGCCCTCAATTGGAATGTTGCTTCAGCCATCAAGTGTATATGACACATTTATACAAACAAGGAATCCCTATGGATAAAATGTATTCATGAAAATTATTTAAAACATTCAGATATTTGGCAAGTGGTTGCAAAGCCTGGTGACTCCTGGATGTAAATTATTTAAAACATTCAGATATTTGGCAAGTGGTTGCAAAGCCTGGTGACTCCTGGATGTGGAAACAGTTGATTAGAACAAGGGATAAAGCAATGGCAAGTGGTTGCAAAGCCTGGTGACTCCTGGATGTGGAAACAGTTGATTAGAACAAGGGATAAAGCAATGACTTTGTGTGGTGGTGAGAACAATCTGAAGCTGCTGATCAGTTCCTGCTACAAAAATTCAAAACTCAGAATCTCTGCCATATACTATGCTCTCTTACATTCAGCTAATGAAGTGCAATGGACCAAAGTTGTTTGGGGAAGATTAAATATCCCTAAACACTCATTCATAAGCTGGTTAGTCTTTCAAGACAGACTTCTAACAAAGGACAGGTTATATAGAAGAGGAATCATAAATTCTAATCTGTGTAGCCTATGCGATGGTGCTTGCAGTGAATCCAGGAATCACTTGTTCTTTGAGTGTGCTTTCTCTTGTGAAGTATGGAATAGTATCATGGATTGGATGAATTTTAATTGGCGTTCCTGTCATTGGCATCATGTTTTAGAGTGGTTCACTGTCAGACAGCGTGGGAAGGGGCTTAAGCAGCTACTCAAGAACCTGGCACTGACAACAACTATTTATTACATTTGGAGGGAACGCAATGTTAGAATCTTCCAACAAAAATACAGGAGCACAACACAGCTAATTAGAGAAATCAACACTGATATTTGGATCACCATACTCAACAATCCATTAGCTAGATAAATCAGAAATGTGACTTCTTTTGTGTGGTTACATTTTCATTTAGAGATATTCTGTTGAATGATTTTGTACTCTCAGATTCTATCTGAGCATTTGATGTCATATATCTTTCATATTTGGTTATGAATAAAAATTTTCATTGACAAAAAAAAACAAAGACGTCACCAAATACGATCTCACTTGAGAGTTTGGGCACATGTGCCGTGGCAAATATTTGTACTCTAATTAATAAGTTGGCGGGCCTTTAATCTTAGTCTTGGGTCCTGGGCCATAACGAATCCCTCCGATGAACGAGGCCACATACTTTGCTTTGTACCTAGCTGCATTCTCACCTGCGAGCGAGGTCACATACATTGCATTGTACCTAGCTGCATATTCGTCAAGTGCTGACATCGTTTCTTTGAATATTTTACCAAATTTGTTAGCACGTAAAATTGAGCTTTTATCATATTCATCCCCCAAATTGTTAATTTTAAATAAATCTCCAACAACAAATAATATAATTAAATAGGCCAAATTAGCATTTTTAGTAGGACCTTATTTACACATGATATATCTTTTCACCGGAGATATTAGGTATTAATATCGAAATTGATTCGGTTAGTTTTTCCATTTAAAAAAATATCAATCTAGTTTTTTTTAATATAAAATACTATCCAATCCACGTCAAATGTTGATATTAATTTTATAATATTGTTAGTGAAAGAAGAAAAAAATGGTCAAATATACTAAAAATCTTCAACGAGATCGGTAGCACCAATAACCAAAGCCGCAATATCCAACAAGGAGTCTTAATTAATTTGATCCATTAGTCCGCCCGTTAAATAATCACAGTATTTCACAAAAACGGGTTTGCCATTTTACGAGATCTATATCATTTGTCCAAATGTTAATAGTGTTGGATAGCAGGTTGTTGGGCCAAACATGATTCCCATTCTGTTTTGGTTTTGGTTTTAGAATATTGAGATTCCTAGTCTGTTTTGGTTTTGGTTTTAGAATTATTGGATTCCTAGTCTGTTTTGGTTTTAGGGTTTATATATATATATATATATATATGAACGTTTTATAAGAGATTTGTAGAGAGAAAAAAGAGATTGTTTTGAGCACTTTGAGAGGTAGATTTTCTGAGAAGTGAGTTGAGATCTTTTGGTGAGGGTTATTTTGAGTGTTTGAGAGTTGTAACCCATTGTTTTTCTCCGCCATATAGTGAAAACCCCCCATCCACTCTCCATGGACATAGGCAATTTACCGAACCATGTAAATCTCTGTGTTTGTGATTGGTTTGTGCCGTTCTTTTGTGAATTGCACTCATTGGTTGTTCTTCTCTCTTGTTCGCCGACTCGTGTGGGTGTTTGGTTCGTGAGCACACTTCCGCCGACGCGCAACAATTGGTATCAGAGCAGCAATTAGATAACATTGCATAAGGCTAAGAGAAAATTATTCTCAGAAATTTTCTGCTAAAAATGACATTTGTATATTATACAGATTTCACTATTATTGAAAAAAATATTCTAAACTAATTGTACTACAAAAATATTTGATCCGAACATATATTCAAAATAGTTGCTTCTTTTCCGTAGGAATCAACCAAAAAAAAAGAATAAAAAAGAAAAAGAAAAAAAAGAAAAAGAAAACAAGAAAATATTGTTTAATTTTTGCATCTATCACTAATTTGATTTTTAATGTGTTTTATTTGAAGTAAATCAAGTATATTTGTCCAAATGTCTTAGAGTCTAACGATTAGTATAATCCGACGTACAACTGACTGTCTATCTATGTATATTAATCAGAAATGTGGAGGGACATATCAGCTCCTGTTTAGTAGTCCTGATAATTAAATGTATTCAGATCGTAAGTGAGAATGACCTCATTTTAGAGTTTGAGAAGACACACAATATTGTTTATTCCCTAAATTATAGAGGGCAAAATTTCCTTCTAGACTATAAGGATAAGATGTTAAATCTTTAATAGTGTTTCTTAAAAGTGAAAACATTGAAACAAAATTTAGTATTTTGGGGGTTCTTTCTGAAATTATACCTTAAACGAATACCTCACCGCTCGGAGCTCTCTTTTGGCTGCCAGCGGCGCCAGAGGCTTCTATAAAAGCCCACACATTTCTAAATATTCCCTCACCAAACCTCAACGAGTACAGTTTTTAGAGGTTGATTCTATAACTTATTTCTGGGTTTTCTTTAATTATCTCGAAATTTTAATTTCTTAACATTTTGTTTTCTTTTAGTTGGCTTCATCGTAGCAACATGATCGAGCAACTTCCCTCTAATCTTGATGCTTCTGCGGATCCACCTACTCTCTTTGATGGAACCACAAGGCAAAAAGAAAAATACTTTTGGCGTTTTCTCAATAATTTATTAGCATGTTCTTAGTTTTTATATTAATGTTTTTTTTTGTGAATTTAAAGGTTGTATGTATCCTACATATGCCCGTATGCTCAGAGAACTTGGATTACAAGGAACTACAAGGTGAAAAAGACCCATCTCCTTAATTAATTATCAATTATTTTGTTGCATGTTGTTGAAATTTTTAGTGAAAACACTGACTTGGATTTTGTTTATGCAAATTTTGGGATCAGGGTTTGCAAGAGAAGATAAAATTGGTCCCAATTAATCTCCAAAATAGGCCAACTTGGTACAAGGAGAAGGTGTACCCAGGAAATAAGGTAATTACTTGTAAATCTTTTGTTTTTTATTTCTTCTAAAAAATTATGTTGGGTTTTCTTATTTTAAACCCTCTGTTTTATTCTTACACCCATGTGCTTCCAAAATTGTTTATAACCCAAAATACACAAAGTAATTTTATCTTATATCTAAAACTTAATATGCTAAAAAGTACATGAGTATATGATAAAATGTTGTAATTCTATTAGATATAAAATTATATCTCTCAACCCTAGCCACGTACTACTTCAGGTTTGATGCACTGACATGGACATTAAGATGATATCAAAGCAATTCAAGTTTAAATCTTGCTGACCATGAAATTCTAAGTGAATTTTTAAAAAATTGGCACATGAACTTGAGGGGCCTTCAACCTGCACATACATGTCATATATAAAACTACACACGCGCGTGCGTACACACACACATAACCTCATCCTAACACTGGAGTTTTGGTGTAGTAGCAAGGAATTTAAGAAGTTCAACCTAAATTACTACAATATTTTTTAAATAAATATAATATTTAAAGTGCTTTAATATAAGGGTCAATATGAAACAAACCAAGATAGGTGTTTTGGGTGTATGAATGATTTTGGAAGTGGGTGAATTTAAAAATAATTCAAGTTAAGTTTAAAATAAAAAACTTTTTTTGCTTCCAAATTTATGTTTTTTTGTTGTTGCGCTAGTTTATAGTGGTAATTTGCACTTTAGGTGCCTGCTTTGGAGCATAATAATGAAGTTATGTTGTTGCGCTAGTTTATAGTGGTAATTTGCACTTTAGGTGCCTGCTTTGGAGCATAATAATGAAGTTAAAGGGGAGAGTTTGGATTTGATCCTAATTTGCACTTTAGGTGCCTGCTTTGGAGCATAATAATGAAGTTAAAGGGGAGAGTTTGGATTTGATCCAATATATTGATGAAAATTTTGAAGGCCCGAAGTTGCTTCCTAAAGTAAGAATGTATCCTTCTTAATTTCACCATAAGTATGGTAATATTTGTCACAGTTCCTATCTTTCTTTTTGTTTTTGTTTTATGTGGACATTTCTTCGATGTTTTTGATTTGTAGGATCCTATAAAGCAAGAGTTTGCCACCGAGCTGTTGAGTTACAGTGACACTTTAAATAAAGTTAACTTCTCTGCAATTACATCTAAAGGGGATGCGCGTAATGAAATTGGTGAGTTATGAGATTTATGTTTTTTACTGAAGAGGAAGAAAGAGAATGATCGAGGATCATTAACACTTACTAATTTAGACTACATGATGTTCATTAGGTGCTGCTTATGATAAGTTGGAAGAAGCTCTTGCTAAGTTTGATGGACCATTTTTCCTCGGCTTCATTAGGTGCTGCTTATGATAAGTTGGAAGAAGCTCTTGCTAAGTTTGATGGACCATTTTTCCTCGGTGAATTTAGTCTGGTAAGAATTTGTTGGTGAAGAAGCTCTTGCTAAGTTTGATGGACCATTTTTCCTCGGTGAATTTAGTCTGGTAAGAATTTGTTGGTATTGTGTCTTTGATTTTTTGTATAACTTCATAAGAATTAAATAGGGTTAGAGATCTATCATGATTAGGAGATTGGGTCTCATCATGATTAAGAGTTGGAAACCTAATCTAATTAGGAAGTTATGCTAGAGATAGGGTTTTGATTTCCCTATATATGTTCTTCGGTTGTTGGAGGAAAAACTAAGGAGAGGAGAGAAAGCCAGTATTCTTATAATCTAGGGTTAGAAGAGGGCGTAACCTGATTCAAGAATATTGTGCAAGAGGCGAGAGTTTTGTAGTTTTTGTCTGTATAAAAGATTACATTATTGAGAGAGGGTTTCGCAATCTTTTTCCGTTTAAAAGATTGTAAGGAGAAAGCTTTGGAGATAATATGAGAGTTGATTATGTATGTCTGGTTGAGAGATTAAGAGATGAGAGTTGGGTGGATTTCTCGTATTATTTCCCGTGGACATAGGTCGAAGTTGGTCGACCGAACCACGTAAATCTCGGTGTTCTTTCCTCTTGATTGTGGTTGTTTTATATCTTGTCGATTGTGGTTGGCTTCCGAGTTGCACAGATCGTAGTAGGTGGGGAGACTAAATTCCCCAACAAGTGGTACAGAGCCATGATGTTGGATCCGAGAGCGAGTTCGTAAGACAGATGTCGTACAAAAGTGAGGATCGGTGACGTTACCAGAATCAAGATGAAGAAAAAAAAGAGGTACTGTAGCAGGGAATTCTGTAGTGGCGGTGGGAACACTATTCACGTGGGTGAGGATTTGCTTACAAACTATTAAATCAAATCCAACGGTGCAAATTGATTTGTCTTTTGATCGAGGATTTAGAGGCAGATTTTGGTGATCTAGGAGTTGTTCCTAGGATTTTTCGACGTGCTGAGTTCTTTTTTAACATCATCTTTTATCAAATTCAATCTCTATAGTGACTGATTTGAATTTTGATTGTGGTTAGAGGATGATGACTTCTTCGGGTCGAAAGTTTAATATTTCGCTATTCAACGGCGAGACAAATTTGATGGCAGATAGGGCAAATGAGTATGCGACAGATGAGGCTGGTGTAGAGAATCAGATGTGATTCTAGCAGTAGAGTTGTTAGCATATAATTATTCAGTCATCGCGGGAGCAGTAGTTGGTTCGTGTGTAGACTCGAGGAGGACAGTGCCAGATTAGGTGGAGTTTGCAAGCAGGTACGATAGAGTGACACACATGCTGATGGAGATGGTGGCATTGAACTTGAAGACGATGAGCGCTCATATTCGGTCCAAGCCAAGTGATGGAGGAGATGGAGACATCTGGCTCGTAGTGTGGAGTAGGAGAGGTGTACCGGTATGAATCGAGACGAGCGATACAAGTGGAGTACGAGGACAGCAAGTGGGGGAAGGCCACTGTCAAATTCAGTTTGAGAGGAGAAGCATGGTTGATTTGTTTCTAAGTCAGAGATGGCAAAGATCTCTTGGTGCGCACAAGAGAGGTGTAGGCACCATAGCGAGACAGCTGAAAGTGAGGGTCATACGAACATCCAGTTGGAGTGTAGGTGTTTTGATTAGGAGTGCAGGAGCTTCGATTTGAAGTGCGAAAGGAATAGAAGACACTAGCGGGAGAGATAATGTTTCAATACAACAATGGTAGATCTTCGAGGTGGCTTGGGAATCAAATCCAAGGTGGAGATTGTTGAGATTGTGTCTTTGATTCATTGTATAACTTCAAGAGAATTAGATAAGGTTAGCGGTCTATCATGATTAGGAGATTGAGTCTCATCATGATTAGGAGTTTGAAACGTATTCTAATTAGGAAGTTAGGCTAGAGATAAAGTTTTGGTTTCCCTATATATGTTCTTTTGTTGTTGGGGGAAAAACTAAGGAGAAGAGAGAGAGCCAATATTCTTGTAATTTAGGGTTAGCCGAGGGTGTAGCTTGATTCAAGAATATCGTGCAAGAGGCGAGGATTCCATAGTTTTTGTCCGTGTAAAAGATTACATTATTGGGAGAGGGTTTCACAGTCTTTGTTCGTTCAAAAGATTGTAAGGAGAGGGTTTTGGAGATAATATTAGAGTTGATTATGTATGTGAGGTTGAGAGATTATTTGCTTTAGAGTTATGCCTTCGTTGTGTGATGTCCCTTTTATGAGGCAATTAATATAGCCTTAGACATAATTACATATACTATGAAAGATGAATGACTATCTTGTCTTCTGTTCCTATCACAAGTTAGAGGTCGTCATTGCTTCATGCATTTCAAGACTAGCATCTCATTACATCGATGAGATGTTGATTATTGATTCCTATATATCGACTTCTAATCATCTTCTAAATCATCATTTTTATTAGGTGGACATTGCATATGCACCGTTTGTTGTTGAAAGGTTCAAGCCCTTGTTTTCAGGGATAAAGAATTATGACATCACCAAAGGGAGGCCAAAGCTAACCAAATGGATTGAGGTACATATAAAAGCATACTAAAACTTAGGCATGACTATTTGTATATTAATTCCATTATTAGTTTCTTTTAGTCTTTTATTGAGCCTTCTAAGTATGGAGTTATATTTCATCGCCTATTCCATTTTTTTGATATGAATAAGTCTTTGATTTGAGCCTTCTAAGTATGGAGTTATATTTCATCGCCTATTCCATTTTTTTGATATGAATAAGTCTTTGATGATAATAACAAACTAATTTATGAATTATGAATCGCCTATTCCATTTTTTTGATATGAATAAGTCTTTGATGATAATAACAAACTAATTTATGAATTATGACAGTTCTAATTTTTTCTTTCAACCCTCTTTGTAGGAGTTGAACAAGATTGATGCTTATACAGCAACTAAGCGTGATCCGAAAGAGATACTTGGTGGCATTAAGAAGCGGTTTGGGGTAGGGTTTGTTTTGTTTTTATTTTTATTTTGGGTGTTCTCTATCTTTTTAGATTCATTATTGCAGACCTTATTATGATAAGCATACACTATATTCAAGCACCTAATTTATAATTTGATGTTTTTATTTCTCAGATTGAATAAATGTCCTCGACCCTCCTTTGCAGGTTAAGTATAAAATCGGTCACCTTGTTTCTTTTATTTATGTACTTGTACAACATAAAAAATTATTCGATATTTATACTAGTTAATTACAGATTCAATATTGCACTGTAGTGAATTATCCACTTATTACCGCCAAATTTTCTTATTAGTAATTACTCTCTAATGTCCAAAACATGTTCCCTCTCCTCATTTGTATCTGTATAATATGAGTGTATTTTGAAAACCAATAAGAGAATAAGGGTCTCTATGCAATACTGAGAATATCAGGGTATGTTTTGTGACAACCACATGACATGTACATGAAGCTAACTCTGTTAAAGAGGGCCAAATGCTAAAAAATACTTACGAGGTAATAAGTGACAAATATGCTATATTACAGGACGGCGTATCTGAACGTCAGGAAAAGAACAAAATATAAATGTTACAGCAAGAGTTGGGCTATATTTTATAGCTTATCAACTTATGAGAGCTTGAATATTGTACCATTTTGTACTATGTTTCTTTCTCGTTGTGTAGCTCATGTTTCTAGTTTGAATAATGCAGGTATAAGGCATGTGAGTCGCTGTCTTCTGCTTTATGAAGTATCGATAAATAAGTAGGGCTTGAGTGGTTTGTTTGTATGTTGTATAAATGTATAATAAGTGAGTATCAAGTAGTGGTTTCTGTTTTTTAATTATTTTTTAATTCTACACTCTGGGTGCTGTTATGTAATGCTTCATCCATGTACTTGTGTTGATACTGGTTTAATTAAGATTGTTGTTATCTACATGTCAGCCTTTATTGTTGTTATCTATGTGCTCACTGATCTAATAACATTGCTCTTGTGCTGTTGGATTAGTTGATCATTAGGATTCAGAAATTAAACGTTTTTTATTCTGGCACTGTTCACTAATAATAAAAAAAGGATTAAAGGAGGACTCACGCTAATTGTACTTACGTGCGGGGAAAGGGTTAATTTTTAGATATGCTCCTATGGTGGTGTAGCCACCTATACCTCTACATAAATATTTAGATATTACTGTTTTGCTCTCAATTTACTTAACGTTTTAGTTTTTTTTAATTAAATAGAGGGCAGAAGTTGATTTTTACATGAGATCTCAGCCAAACTCTGTTGGATCTGAGTTGCAAGAATAGAGGGGGCTGGTGGGTGTGAATAGATTTGCTACAGTTTTTCACTAAAATACAGAATATGCAGCAGAATATAGAAAAATGAAAGCGAATAATAACACAAGAGATTTTTATAGTGGTTCGGATAACAATCTTATATCAAATTTTCCTTCTCAGGAAGGAGCTTCCTCACTATGTCAAGAGTTCTCTTGAATTACAATCCGAATCGGTTGGTTTATAAAGACCGCACCCTAGAACCTAATTGAAACCATTCGTCTAACATAACTCTCCACATTGAGTAACACCTAGACTTAACTAGTCCCAACCCTCACGGCTTAAGTACGTTGTAAAAATAAGTTTGAAATAAACTATCAAAAAATAGTTTAAGCACAAATTTAAAAAGATCTTACAGCTCTTTTGTTAAGCAAACATTCCTTTTAAAGATTGAATTGAAGCACGATGAAAAATAATGTTGATGTTGAGACCAAGGCAACTCCTCTTGCTAAGACGATCTAAAGATGTTGAGTGAGAAGAGAAAGAGTTTGTCGAGGCTTCGAGGGTTCAAATTATAAATCAATCTTCTTCTCACAAACCCTAGAATTTTCTCACTTAAAGCTCTCTCTTTTCAAACCCTAGAACTCTCCTTAAATATCATCCTTTTCAATCTTAAGTAGCCTCTCATAAATTAGGAAAGAGATATCCAAATCATGGATTGGGATCCTCTACTAATGAGGACCCTTCCTAAGATCTCTTCATGAAATCTTGGCCTTTAATTTATCAATCAAAGGTCATGATCTCTTCATGAGGTAAAGTAGGGAGGAGGAAGAGAATGAAATCTTGACCTTTAATTGATAAATCAAAGGCCAAGATCTCCTCACTAGGAGATCTTAGCAGGTTCCTCATTAGTAGAGGATCCCAATCCCCAAATCATAGTGAAAGTTGGAGATGAAATGGATCAATGAACAGTTGTGATTAACTCTTCAAATCTGCCAACTACCGTCATCACCATCGATGGTTCCTCATGACCAATGATGGTTCCCTGAGCACCATCGATGGGTGCATGTAGATCATGGTAGTTTGATTTTGATTTTATAGAAATTTGTAATTGCTCACCGTACACCATCGATGAGGTGTGGTGACCATCAATGGTTCATTGTTGATCATCGATGGTTTGAAATTAATTTTCTGGATTCCTGCCATTGTACACTATACATCATCAATGAACCTTCACCATCGATGGGTCATTGTAGACTATCGATAGTTCCAATACTAAAATTAGCATAAATATTGATTTTCCCATCATTTCGCCTTGTAATCTTCATATACCTCTTTTCACCTATACTATATCATCTCAAAAAAATATTAGTAAACAAACGATAATTTATTATTACTCAAACAAAAGCTATTGTATGGACTACGTCCTAACAATCTCCCCTTTTTGATAATGACAAACTTAAAATTTGAAATGCTGAAATACATGCATATTACGTCCTAACAATCTCCCCTTTTTGATAATGACAAACTTAAAATTTGAAATGCTGAAATACATGCATATTTGTGATATATATACAACAACAATAAATAATGACAAACTTAAAATTTGAAATGCTGAAATACATGCATATTTGTGATATATATACAACAACAATAAATATAAATACATTGTCATACAAAAAGAAAAATATGTAACGCTACCCCTGTAGAAACGGCAAAAACGGCGACGAAGTTCAGGAAAAACGAAGCAGGAATCAGTTTGAGCTCTGGTCGGTCGACCGCGGCAACATGTATGATTAATCGAAAATGTATACACTACAGGGTAGGTTCTAGATCTTTTTACGGTCGACCGCGACGTCAAGTACGGTCGACCGCTGACCCTGTAATTGATTTTTGAGTTTCTATCATTTTGTCTGGTGGACCGCGGCGTCAAGTGCGGTCGACCGTGACTCGGGTTTAGGCCTGTGCTTCGTTTCCTATTCTGTTTTGGTTTGTGTTTATTTTGGAGTGAGTAAGCAGCCAGCCTAAGGCTGTCCTGAGACCGCTTCGCTGTTATGCCTTCTTTTGATATATATTGAAACACGTTTTAGGGTTTCTTTAAGGTAAAAAGAAGAGACTTTTGAGTAGTGTATTTGGGAGAGATTTGAGAGTTTGATTTATGAGATTGTAAATCCTAAATTGTATTCTATTTCTCTCTAATAGTAAAAACTCCCCCTTCCTTGCCCCGTGTGTTAGACCCTAGAGGTGGGGTGATTAGGGTCTTATGCTAATCTAATCCGATTATATGCCAATAAAAATTAATTAATGAGTTATCCTAGCAAGTATGAAATACAACAAGTTATATGAGCTAGGATAAGCAATATGAACAACAAGAAATATCCTAGCAAAGCGATATAAGCAATATATGATATATGCAAGGTTATGAAACTAACACAAGGGGTAAACAATATGAACTAGATAGTGGATCATATAAATAATGAGACAATGACAATATGAGCAATGAGCACAAATATAAATAAACGCCAAAGCACAAACACAATCAAATGATCACGGAGTTCGGACCTTCCGTCCTACGTCTCCGCTCCCCACTCCCGGGGAGAAATCCACTATCACAATCGGGTTTTCTACGTTCACCTGAATAACGTTTATACCTTACACTCGGTTTTCTAGCTAACCGAAAACTTTATAATCAACACTCTTGCAATCACACTCTACACCCTCACAAGTATTGGACCTAGCCATGTCTCCCTCAAGTGCTCGGTTACAACCTCTCCCTAGGCTCGTCAACCGACGCCACTCCTCTTGGGATGATCCCCGACTCTCACCACACACTCCTCGTTCTCTAAACAAGGTGAGAACTCAATTAAGCACAACTCTTAGTCACAAACCCACAACCCCAAATTATACTATGAATGTAATACAATAAGCTCAAAAGGTTGTGTGTGAACAAAGAGATATAAATCAAAACTAAACTCAATGTAGTTCTAGCTTAATAACAATGATAATCAAATATATAAAAGAGCTAGAAATAGAGTTTAGAAAACTTCTCAATAGATCAAGAGTTGAGAGAGAATAGTTGGAAGCTCAAACTTCAATAGATGATCTCCTCAAGCTCTTGTGGAATTGAATTCTCAAACTCAAACACCCAATTGCTTAAAAGCTTCTAAAAAACATTAAACAAACTTAAACCCTTGTTTAAAACTCTTTAAACTTGTTTAAAATATTTCTTAAGTGCCCTTAGAAGTATGAGGGCATGGGGTATATATAGGCTCATGAAACAAGCCCAAAAACCCAAAAACCAAGCAAAAAGATAAAATAACGGATATATCAAAATCTAAAAATATAGCCATTATGGTACAGTAACTTTGTGGGAAGGTTCTAGACATGTAGAATGACATGTTAGAGAAAGAATTTCTGAAAAAGCATTTCCCAGTTGAGAGAAAAAAATGTTTGAACACAAATCTGCTGACATACATGATTTTGTAAAATCAATTGGGCACAGTAAATCAACTCCAAAAATAGTAAAATTTTGAGAAAAGTTTCTAAACATGTAGATAAATATTTAAAAGAAAGAATTTCTTGAATATCACTTCTCATTTATGAAAACTCATCTGTTGTGTAAAACATGCACGAACATGTGCACGAACAAAAACATGATTTTGTAAATTCCATTAAACATAACAAATCAATTCCAAACTTGATGAAACTTTGTGAAATGTTTATAAACATGAAAACAAACATGTTAGAAAAAGAATTTCTCAAATTTAATTTTCATTTGTGAAAACTCATGTATTTTGCAAGTGTGTCCAAAACATGAAAACCCAAAACCATGCACGTATATATATAACTATATATATACATAGAAACCAAATACGTGTGTGTATATGATATTGAGCTTAAGGTAATTAACACACATAATATAAAACCTAAACTAAGTTACCCAAGCTAGATCTTGATCTTCATTAAGCTCGACTTGGTACACTTGCAGATGAAGCTTGAACTTGGATCTTAAACTTGAATTGTACATAGCTTCACCTACTATTCCGCCAACCTCCATTAGATATTATCATTGAAGCTCTATTCCATCCATCCTCCAACACGTTGTTTGCCTAGAATAAATACGAAAACACAAACACTAGACAAACAACATTAGAAGTAAATTGTTTGTTAATCATCATCAAAACAAGAAGGCCAACACCGTGGACGTAAGCACATTGCCGAACCACGTAAAATTTATTGTCTTACTGTGGTATTTGTGTTGGTTTATTGTTTGTGATTTTATCTCACTTGTTCGTGCTCTTTTGTGTCTGAATTCCACTGCGCACAACAAGTGGTATCAGAGCATCAGGTTTGGCTTGGGGCTCGTTTGGATGATTATCTATAGGATTGTCATTTGAAGAGATTGGATCGTCAACATGGGTGAATCAAGTACATCAGGATCGTCTCTTTCGAAGGTGATACAGGTTTTGAGCATCAATTGTAGGCGTCAAAAATTGCTTATGGGTTTCCGCATGCAGCTCGAGACGGAGAGAAGATGATAAATATAATTATCTGAGTTAAGGAGGATTATCTGACAATGACAAGTCAATGAAGTGAGTCAATGAAGCGTACGAACCAACGGGACGATAGAATGACGAAGAAACGATCCGATCAGGAATTACGTTTCA